ATACCAGATTATGTCACAGTATACTCAGTTTTCATGACGTTAAGTTTGGAGCTACAAATTGATGTGTATTTTTCTCTTAGAATTTGACAGATTATTTGTAAACAAGTGTTTTGCTTAGCTAAAGAAAGAGAGGTAAAGCACACTTTAACTGGACAAGGAAAGCAAAGTACATCTGTATGATGCTCTGGTCCTGTGTGTTTTCTACTTCTGCCAGCTATTTCTCACTGCGCCAACAGCAAATAACTTTGACAAGTCCACTTTTTCTTCTTTAGTGTGTTCATTTGCATGCCATGTTTCCTGCAAGGATAGTGCACCTCAAGTCTGCCCTATACCTCCTGAGCAAGCCAAGCGGCCCCTTGGAGTGGATGTTCAAAGAGGCATAGGAACAGCTTACAAAGGCTATGTTAAGGTAAGAATCTGGTGTCTTTGGCAGGAAAAAGAGGACTGTGCCCTTATCAGCAATGTTTTTTTTAAAAAAAGTTAATTTATATACTCAAATGAAATATTATAATTCATGGAGATGGGCATACATACAAATAATCACGTTCTGTACTAAAAGTGAAGATGGCTTTTAAACAGGTGACTGTTGTGTAAAGAGTGTATGAGGTTCAAAACTTCGTTCATTGCATTTTAAAAACCTTTAAATACCCAGTTCTCCTTTCACTAGCAGGAAAGGCATTTAAAGTATGTTTAATCAGGCTTGTGCTTGCTTATAGGAAAGTTTCTTATTGGGATGCTTTATTTTTTAATTTTTGTTCACCTTTTAAATCATTTTATACTGTTCATCATTGTGATTCCATTTGTTTTAATATTAAATGTTAAATTTTAAAATCCTTTTGAGTTCCTTTTGAGGCCCCACTGTGTAAGAAAAGTAGCATATAGATATGATGATGCTAAAAATATTAAATGTTTTTCATAAAGAAGGACTTTAAATTCATTTTTATATAGAGTTTACAACAGTGACACATTTTCTTTCTTTTCTTTCCTTTAAAATGAACAAACACATTCTGCCATTTATCATTTAGAGATTACTTCTATTGAAATTTCCTTGCTGGAGTAATTTTTATGCACTTACAGAATGGAGGTATTTCTTCAGCTAATAAATTAATATTGATGCCTCTTTTGATAAAAATGCTTTTCAGTACTTGCATAATGTGAAACTATATAAGCTATCTATATTCCACTTTTCTTGAAAAGTAGAACTTGGCCAAGGTAGACCACAAAGGGAATTTTAAAAATCACAACAATAAATATTAAAATAAATATAATCACAATGATGAATAGTATAAAATTATAAAATTAAAGCAGTGTCATGGGTGCATTTTTAAACTTTTGGTTATTTTCAGTTGGTGGTCAGGAAAATTGACTAACGTTGGTGTGGGAAAGGAAAAATAACAGCTTCAATTTTAATGATAACTATAAAATGAAAAAGCCATTCCGTGATATCATTATGTGTTCTTTGGCAATGTAGTAAACAGAAACAGCTTGATTATAAGTATACTTCCCTTTCCCACAATGTGTACCGTAGCATATCCTACATTACTAGGAGATACCTTAGAAGAGACAGGATCTTCCTTTGAATTTTGCCTTACTTTCCACCTCACCTGCTGCATCCAGCTTACCAAATTGTGATAAAAGCCCCGAGGCTGTCTTTTTACAATTTATAATAATCCCCTTAGTGCTAATCCATATTCTAGTAAGCATGGCAGGTGATTAGATATGCAGTATTGGGAACTGAAATGCCACAGAGCATAGTAAACTAAGATGTGGGTATACAGAAAAACAAAAGGGATTCTTTCTCTAGCCAAGCTTAAATAGAAAGGATAATTACCCTTGCAATTCTAAAGGGCGGGATGTTTATCCTATTTTGTGGTTTGTGTGTCATTCCACATGCAGGCTCACAACTAGAACCAGGTTAGTTCTAGATTAGTGCTCTGAAATTCAGTTTTCACCTGTTTTCACTCTGACCCAAGTACAATAAGATGTTGATGTGTGAAGATACTGATATATATTTATAGATAATTGACCCATGTACAAGTCAGGTTTTTGGGACCAAAATTAGGGATTTTAAAATGACCTGATACAATATAGTATGATATGAGGGTCATTTCAGTCACCGGGATTGTGGCGGTCACCGGGATTGTGGCGCAGCTGGCTGAGTGTCAGCTGCATTAAGATCACTCTGACCAAAAGGTCATGAG